TTTCAAGAGGACAGTGGGAGTCTAAAAGATTATGAAATAGTTTCAAGAACTAATCAAGAATTTTGTTAATCACTAGCCCACGACTTGAGGTTTGTAACCTATCGTGTTGACATATTTTGTGCTCATCCTAGTTAAGGTTGCCTTTGCATTGGATTTCTGAGAGTTCTCGACTGTTTTCATAACAACCAGGAAGCAATGGTAGGCCCTTATGCTGCCGGATGGCAAGCAATTAAGACTGCACAAGTTCAGTCCATATGAATTTGGAAGTGTCACTAACCTAGTCCTGTGATTATGGTTTTGACAAAATTCACATGGAAAAGAACACATACACCATAAAATCTAAGTGTCATAAGGTTTCTCTTCGATTCATGAAAATGATGGTAAGGAAACGCTTCCACTAAGAAGATTTTAAGTAGATAGCGTTTGTGATATTTGCATTCTCATATAGTTAGTGGAGCGTGTGTGGTTAACCGGCACAGTAACTGGTGAGAATTGCAAAAGGTCTAGACAAACATGTGAGCTATCTAAGGAAAGGTGTATATTTTTGATAAAGTCTTATCAAAGCAATCTAGTATCAGAAATATGAACTTTGGTAAGAAAGTCAATAAAGTATTGATTTCTAGAAGTCCAGCTGATTTCTGAGTACATGTCAAAGCTAGTGGGAGCATAAAGTGTTATGCTGGTAATCATTATGCTAGTGGGAGCATGGTGATTATGTTAAGTTTTGCAAGTTAGCAATATTAATTATAGAAAACAAAAGTTTCAATTTGCTTTGAAAAGTTGTTTTGCTATAATTAAGGGAGAGGATTTTATACTTCACTCCAATTCTACAAGCTTAGATTGATATTTTAATCTACTTTAGTCAAGAATATATATGAATGTTATGCTGGAATGGTTCAACATAAGGAAATTCTATATATGTTGCGATCTCAAAATTCGATTATGATTACGGCATACCTCTTCATAGTTCGAATTGTGAGAACATGGCAAATAAAATTTTTATAGCATGAATCGTGTACCATATGCTTCGGGTATAGGATTGATTGAATATGCTATAATATTCATCCATTCTAAATTTTCCAAATGCCTAGGGCATTAAGATGGAAAAAGGAATAGAACTGGAAATGACTAAAATGATTAAGCAAAATTGTCGAGGACAATCTGAGGTTTACCAAAGATTGGTTGCTCATGGACAATTAGAAGTATAGAGTAAGGACCATATTGACGTATTTTGAAAAGCGGTAACTCTTGTTCAGAAGTGATGGTCAAAATGGTAATATGGAATTGTCTCCATAGGTGGAAGTTATTCTTTAAATCTGTGTAAGATTAAAGAACTTAATGCTAAGAAGGATGTTCAAAGGAATGTACTTTGAATTTGAGACTTCATTTCCATGGAATTGTTTTCCATTGGAATGCTCTATAATGTCTGTTGCCAAGTCTTTGTGACTTCTGTGCATAGTCGTTACAAGGGGATCATTGCATATAAGTTTAGAATCTAACAGATTACAGTAAATGCAAGAGTTTGGTATTCTTGCATTTACAACAAGGATTGGAATTGTGAAATGAGCATCATTGGAATATTGACAATTGATCTATTTCACAAAGAGAGGACCATATGTAAACATAGTATGCATACTTGGAGTATGGCATAATTGTTGTTTGGAAAAACATAGTGTACATGCTTGGAGCATGGGACAACTAATGTTTTAATTCAAGCATAAAGTTGATTAATCGAAACATAAATAATGAGTAATCAATATGGTGCTTAGATAAAAGTTGTTTTATTTACACCCAAGTGTTGGGGCCATATAGGATTAAGTATTATTCTTGTGTTTCACTTTGCATGTTTTGACTTCCAGAATAATTATGTTATGGTATATATCATATTATTCAAACCATCCACAGTCAGTCATATGTTGGAAGTAGATATGAATCAAGACTGTCATGAATTTGGCTTGTATGATTTGTCTAAAGTGCTTTAGACAATGCAATGGTTGCTACAACATTCATGAGTACTCATAAGGGCTGAGTATTGGATTCAACCCACGCTCACTTGCATCACTTCATGGAATTTATCTCGAGTGATCGTGAGACGGTAATATCATATAAATCTTCAAACCTAGAGATATGAGTTGTTGACTATGAGTTGGTTATTCATTGATTGTACGAAAACGCATTGGTAACTCGATGTTATAAAACGTGCCTTTGTGAATAATTCAACAAGTAGTTAGTACAAGCATATCAGTCGAAGTTTATCTGTTCCTTCTAGAAATAGAAGCGATATCTGGGCCCCTCGATGATTTGGTTTTGACCTATGTACCGGGCCCGGTCAGAACCTAATTGATGTGTTCAATTTAGTTCTATGTCGAAACAAATCGGAGATCGAGAAACAAATGCTGGACAATAAGTAAGACCATGTTCCATGTGTTTGTCCGGCTGATATCATGAGAACAGAGGATTATATGATCACTTATCTTAAATGGCGTATCATCATCATCTCAGTTCCGAGAGACTTTGAAAGAGCTACGATTGCTAGTCGGATTTTGAAGTCATATTTGCAAATATAGTTATTAGACTTATCCAAGTGGGAGACTGTTGGATATAGTGTCTAAGTCCATAACTTTATTTGGTATGAACTTGACCCGACCCGGCATGGTCCATTTGGGTTGCATGGCATTGCAATACTTGGATAGACTAAATGAGAGAATAAGGCACTTATGATTATTAATATATTATAAGTTCTAATATATTAATAATAGTATTATTTAATTAGTATTTGATCAAGTATTAATCTAGTATTAATTTGGTGATCAAAGTGAGACTAATTAAATATATAGGGTTGATTATGACAATCATCAATTCTTTTATGGTGGATTAATGATCCATGGTTTATGGGTTTGGTTATAACCATATGGAGCTCCATGGATAGTCCATGGGAGTTACAAACCCATGGGTCATGAGAAATGAAGAGTCATGACAATTAGGGTTTACATTTGTAACTCCTAATTATGACACACTATAAAAGAAACCCTATAGCATGCAAAATTGGCACTAGAGTATTCTTGTGAGGGCATAGCCGATTTTGAAGTGTAGAAGTATTCTCTCTAGTTATTCCAAGGTTGTAGTGTTGTGTGAAGCATTTGAGGCACAACATTTGGGGTGCTAGGCTCACAAAGTCTTGAAGGAATCCAAGCAACAACAAGGTATGTATTTCTACTAGTTTTTATGTTTTATGTAATCCCCATGCCATTCTAGTTAGGAAATAACCTTGAAAAAGAAATTTGCATGTATATAGAGAAAACATAGATTCAAGGTTATTAGGGTTGCATGTACACTGAGGAAGTGTTAGAATGCTCAAAACCCAACAAAGTTTTGGTCAAAGTCAAGATCTGGTTTACTCAACTCGCTGAGTTGGTTTGTCAACTCGTCGAGTTCCATAATTCAGAGAATATCAATTTCATGATCTGACTCGTTGAGTTGCACTTCAACTTGTCGGGTTTCTCCTTATGACAGAGTCGGGACATTCCATTTGAACTCGTCGAGTCCTTCCTTGGACTCGTCGAGTTCATCTTCATCTCAATTGGGATAGTTGCTCTTAACTCACCGAGTTCATCCTTGAACTCGTCGAGTTCCAAGATCTTCAATTCCATAAATGAGCCAAACTTGATGAGTCATCTTCAAAACTCAACAAGTTGCTCAATATCATAAAAGATTGGGGAAACTACGAACCAACTCACCGAGTTGTATGAGCGACTCATCGAGTCCTTCAATGTCCACACTACTAGAAAAAAGGCCTTTTACAACGCGCAAAATATGACGCTCATTGATCTATGTTACGCAAAGGAGAGTGACATTAGAAAAATGTCATCTCTTCAAAAAATTTAAGGATAGAAGACACGCATTATTGCGCGCCCTTAAATCAGTGTCTAAAAAAAACACGGAGGGCACCTATAATAAAATGCGCGTCATCTAAGGATGTCGCTTTATAATTTTTAATGGAACGCGCGTTCCATCCTTTAACAGTAGGGGGAAATGAAATTCTGAAAAAAATTAAAAATCCCGCCTTAATTCCTTTTTTTTCTCCTTTCCCTCTTGCCCAAATTATGGACGCTCCTTCCTTCCCCCTCCCGACATTGACTGCTGCCTACTTCTTCCCTCACTTCTACCTACTGGAACCACCATATCTCCCACTCGATGTTGAAATTGTTAGAAAAAGCCCTAATTATACTCTCAAGTCTAAATACAGAAAAAATAGAAGATGGTGAAGAAGTAGCAGTAGAGGAAGTGGAGGATGAACAGTCGAAAATGGAAGGAATGGCATCAATAGCGTTGTTACTAGATGGGTCAATCTCGGGTCATTTTGTTCAGCTTCCCGAGTCCGTTTATTACCAGATGGGTCAATCTCGTCTTTTCGTCTCGACTTCATATCTCTCTGTAAAGCAACCGACGACCCCCACACCACCATCTGCAAACCCTAAGCCATCGTCACTACCATTGAACCCTAAAAACTCAGTCACACTCCATACTTTTGTGATTTTACTCTTGGGCTCTCATTCTCTCCTCTTGGGCTCTCCAATCTCTGATTTTACTCTGAAACGTCGATCGACATCCCCACTTCACCTACCATCCACCCAAAATCAATGCTGATTGTAACCACCTTCAAGCATGATGCCATCTCTGCTATAAAGTAACCGAAGCTTACATTCTCATCGATTCCACTTTCTCTCTCTGAACAAAAATATCTCATATTCTCTAAAAGCCCTAAACCAGCCACCGCCGGCTATCACCTCCACCATCGTTCACGTCCTACTTCCTAGATGGTGTTTGTGTGTGTGCGACAAGACTGAACAGAAAATGGGAAAGAAAAGAAAAAACGAGCAGAAAGATAGAGAAGAGAAAGTGTTGATAGCTCTGTTAACGAATGTGGAGTCTCCAAAGCTGTTGATATCATAGACAGCATCATAAAGGATCCTTCAAGGGCACAATTGCTAAAGTTTTTCATGTCTGATGGAGATCTTTCAAAAGAACTTGATGACAGATTTGGCTCTCAGTGTGGGGATATTTTGGTCTTTTTCGATGCATTGGATAATTGCAACTCTGAATCGGTTAATGTGAAGGTCCTTACTTTCTTTGTTGATCTTTTTTCTGGAGACACATGCCCTAATTTCAATCCAGATATACAGAAGAAATTCCTTGACCTGGATTTGGTCCACAGAAGAAGGATTTCTTGAAAGTCCTACGCCTACAGGGTTCAAGGTATGCTTTGTTACAATGCTATTTATGTTTTACTTTTTTTGTTTGACTTGATGGGCTTTCTTGGTTAACCACTTAATCTGGACAGCTTAGTGTATCAAAACACCAACCCTTCCCTACTTGCCCTTAATATTTTTTCCACCAACTTCTCTCATGTTAAAATTGATGATGATTATGAAATTTTTTTGTTGGGATGTAAGGGTAAAATGGTCATTTGGTCTTAGGGGCTGTTTTATAGTTGCTAACAATTCAACCACTTTACCATACAAGACTTGATGGGAAAATAAAAGAAAAAAGAAACAGCCCCTGAATTATTTGTATTGATTCATGATTGATACCTTGTGTTTTCCCATTCCAGGTAACAGTTTCCAATTCGAATCCAAACATAGTAATGGTTGGATTTCGTGTCCATGTGGGGAACACATTAGCAAACCATATACCCTCTGAGATAACAATTTTCCAAAGAGTTATAAAACTAGACGAAGGCATGAGGTCATGGTATGACATCCCATTTACAGTTGCAGAATCCCTTCTAGCTGATGAAGAAATTACAATCTCCATAGGAACAACTTTCAACAGATCAACTTTACCAAGAATAGACACTTTAGAAATTTATGGTAGAGTAAAGGATGAATTTGGTTGGAAGGAGAAAATGGATGCATTACTGGACATGGAGGCACGTGTGCTTGGTAGCAGTTCTTGGGTTTCAGGATCTTGGAAAAAACGTTGCATTGGTCAAGTTACTCCTATTGAAGAACAGGTTGTTGCAGATGGACTTAACCTTTCCTCCAGATTATACGCGTTGTGTAAGCCAAATTGATCTTCTAATATGGAGGAAGTAAAAACAAAGCTGAACAAACTAAAATGCAAGCAGTTGTTGGAAACCATATTTGAAAGCGACAGGGAACCTATGTTGCAAGCTGCTGCATGTCGCGTTCTTCAAGCCGTTTTGCCTAAATGAGGAATATATTATCAAGTACAGAAGTCACTTCTCTACTTCAGTTTTTTATATTATGCTTTTACTAATTTACAATCACAAGGACAACAGATGCAAATGAGGAATCTTCACGATCACATGCCATTCTTCATTTTTTAAATCTTGCAGGAAATGAAAGAGGTGCAGATACAACTGATAATGATAAGAAAACAAGGTAAAGGTTGGAATATAGAATGGAATGGAATGGAATGAGTCATTCCATTCCATTTCTTCCCTCTCTATTTTTCTCTCCCTTTTTTTTTCTAATGATCAAAGTTCTTGTTTTTAATATCAGTTTCCCTGTTCTCTTTTATACTTGATGCAATTTTTATTTGCAGGCTTGGCCTGTGCATACTCCAAGGCCTGTTGCTTTCAAGCTTGTTGCTGATACCCCTCTTCTTACTGGACAGGTAAGTTTCAAATCTTTTTGTTGTGGATTTCTTATAGTTTCTTTTTGTTGTGGATTTCTTATAGTTTACTTAGCTTCTTAAATCAAAGAGTATAAAGCTTTCCTAATGTGTTCTAATAATTAAGAAAATGGTCTTTTTTTGAAAAATGCTTCTCAATTTATCTTATTAGGAAGAATGGAGAACAGGCCTCAAATCATATGTTTTTTTTTTCCAGTAACTTCCACTTCCTTCATGGGTTTGTAACAATACTGATGGACTCTGCTATTTTGTTGTATGGTGTATTACCTTGGATATAATTTGTTTTTACAGTTTTCTCTTTTTATTTAATTTAAATTTGGATATAAGTTTGTAACACATGGGATTTATGATTGCAGCAAACAATCTTTCTTTTCTTTCCAGACATGATTAAAGGCATGTTTTTGGCTGTAGTTATTGGACCACCTGTTGTGGTTGCCATCATTTTAATAGTACAGGTATTATTCTATCTCTGAGAAATTTCATTTGCCATGTCATCAAAAGCTGCCAGATGGACTATTATCTTTCATGTTTGAGTTGGTTCTCAACTTGTAGAAGAATAACATAAAATATTTTGGCATCTGAGTGTAAAAAATAATATTTGAAATCATAAGTTCCTTAATAATACTTTATTGTGTTACATGTACTTTATTACTTACTCATAATATATAATTCAATCTGATTATTGATTATGTTTGGTGAGATCATGTTCTCTGTTCTTGATGCTGCATCTGATAGGGAACCAAAAGTAAGAACTTTTTTTGCCCTGACACTTGAAATAACAGGGTAAGGAGAGCATTCTAAACATTCTGGAAACTTTAAAAGAAGAGGGAAATAGGGTCTTGTTCAATGCTTTAGCTGTGTTTGCTCTAAGGGAGATCAACTTATCAAAAGTAAGTTACTGTTTCACCCTTTTATTTAATATTTTTGTGATTGAATGAAAGTCTTAATGAAAGTAATTGACAACCCTTTCTCTGTAAATGATGTTGTGATTGTGGGAGAGGTGTTGTGTTTTTCTCTGTTGCTAGGTAACCTTCTCAACAACAACATTCTACTTAAGCAGGTGAGTAATCAAGATTAAGGGAGACTTGTAATCATGTTTGACATTCCTTTCCAGTAAGAAACAGAGTTGTATGATTATTTGTTAGTTTTATAGGAATGTATAACCCATGTTAGCAATGTATTATTTTTGTTTAACATTTGAATGATTCTTTGTATGACATTACAATTTGTGCAATTTATTTTATTTTTTGAGTATGAAATTTTATTTTATATTATGCAATGGATTGTATTTTTTGTATATGGTATTTTATTTCTATTATGAGAAATTAAATGCAAATTTAATTTAAAAATTAATAAATATATACATTTATTTTTTTAAAACATTTAAATTTACGATACGCAAAAATGTGTGTCATCTTCATTTATGACATGACCTTTCTTGACAGGGGCTTTCTTGATACGCATTGCGTGTCATTAACACGCGCGTCGTAAGGTTACGACACGCGAATGCGTGTCATCTTCCTTTATGACAGGGCCTTCCTTGATACGCATTGCATGTCGTAAACGCGCGTCGTAAATGAGCGTTGTAAATGCGCGTCGTCTCTCTTTATGACAGGGCCTTCCTTGACACGCATTTGCGCGTCGTCTGAGCCTTTTACAACGCGCAATGAGCGTCGTAAAAGGCCTTTTTTCTAGTAGTGCCAAATCCATACAACTGATTTCAATCGGGCTTAACATGTCTAAAACATAGATCTAACCTCCTAAGGTTGATATTACACATAAAGTTACAAACTTTATGTGCATGCAAGGTGTTATGAGCCAAAAACACAATTTCCAAGTTTAAAATAAAGTTTAGGACAAAGGGAATGGCTAAAGCATGATAAATTCGTAAACTTTATGGCAATAGGGGCTGAAAGGGATCTGGATCTAAATTTTCACATTGTATACTCCAAAAAGGTTCACAAAAATTGCTAAAGGTGGCCCTAAGCTCCACATGGAGAGATATAACAATAAGGAAGTCAATGAAGCAACTTTATACCTTAAAGGGACTGGAAATGGAGCTTGAACCCTAGATCTACTGCTTCCTTGAACCTTCTAGCTCCTTTTTCTTCTTCCTCTAGCTTCAAGATCACACAAACACTCTCAAGAATGACTCACACACTTATCAAAGCTCAAGGGTCATGAGTTAGGGGTTTTCTGGACTAAGGGAGATGATGGGGGCTACATGGGAGGCTGATTAATGTGTTTAAATAGGGTGCAAATCCTAAAATATAGGGTTTCATATAGACAGGTCTACTTGTCGAGTTGAGGCTTCCGACTCGGCGAGTAGACTCTTCCACCCGCATCCAAGATTTGCATATACTCGATGAGTTGGGGCCTCCAACTCGCCGAGTCCCAGTGTAAAAGTGCAAGAATTCAAATTTAAAATTCATACCAGGAACCGGGCGTTACAAACCTCCCCCACTTATTTTAGACTACATCCTTGAAGTCTGCTGCTACATCTGGAAAAAGCTCGGGGTAGTGCTCCCTTATCTGTCCTTCGGCTCCCAAGTCCATTCTGAGCCCTTACGGCGCTACCATTGCACCTTCACCAGCCCGACCCTCTTGTTCCTCAGATCCTTTGACTTCCTATCAAGGATAGCTATTGGTCGCTCGATGTAGTTCAGACTGTCATTAACCTGAATATCCCCTAGATGCACCACAATAGAGTTTTCTACCAAGCACTTCCGTAGCCAGGAGACGTGAAAGGTACTATGAATTTGGCTAAGCTCGGCTGGCTGATCTAGCCTATACAACCCTTTCCCACCCTGGCAACAACCCTAAAGGGACCGATGTACCTGGGGCCCAATTTTCCTTGCTTCCTGAACTAGATGACACCTTTTCAAGGTGATACCTTCAGGAGGACCATATCCTCGACCTGGAACTCCAGGTCCGAATTGCGATTGTCGGTATAACTTTTCTGCTGACTCTGAGCAGTCTGAAGCCTGCTCTGGACCTTCTGGATCATCTCCGTCATCTTGAGTACCACTTTGGTACTTCCCATGACCCTCTTCCTAACCTCACCCCCATCATATCAGGGTCCTGCACTTCCTCCTCTATAACATCTTGAAGGGAGGACGGTGAATACTTTTGTGGTAGCTAGTATTGTAGGAAAACTCTGCCAAGGGACGGTAGGTATCTCCACTACCAACAAAGTCTAAAACTCATGCTCGCAACATATCCTCGAAGGTCTGGATGGTCCTCTCGCTCTGACCATCCGTCTGCGGGTGAAAAGCGGTGCTGAAGCGTAGACGAGTACTCAACTCGTCATGAAACGTCTTCCAGAATCTGGAAGTCAACCGCACGTCTCTGTCAAAAATCACAGATACTGGAACTCCATGTCGAGCTACTACCTCTCGAATGTAGATTTCAACTAGCTTCTCAGCCGAAATGCTCTCCTGGATCAGAATGAAATGGGCGATCTTGGTCAATCGATCCACGATGACCCAAATCGAATCCACTCCCCGTTCTGTCTTGGCAAGCTTCATGATGAAATCCATAGTAATATTTTTCCATTTCCACATAGGGATATCCAACGACTGTATCTTTCCATGAGGCCTCTAGTGCTCGGCCTTGACCTTGCTGCAGGTTAGGCATCTCTCAATTTACATCCTGCTTCATGTAGGGCCACTAATAATCAGGACGAAGATCTTTGTACATCTTCGCCACCCCGGGATGGATAGAAAACCTGGATTTGTGGGCCTCATCCATCAAAATCTACCGTACTCCGCCCGAGTACAGAACCCAGACCCTCCCATGTAGGGTCAGCAACCCACGACTGTCATAGTTAAACGAGGCCACCTGGCCTATGATCCGCTCACACTTCTAGCACTCCTCCTTCATACCCTCAACTTATGCCTCTTCGATCCGCTCCAATAGTGGGGTGACCACCGTTATCCTCAGGCAAATATCTCTGATCGGGGCTGCCTTGCGACTAAGTGCATCAGACACAACGTTGGCATTCCCCGGGTGGTATAGGATCTCACAATCATGGTCCTTCACCAAATCTAGCCACCAACGCTACCTCATGTTCAGATTCAGCTGATTTGTGAGGTACCTCAAAGTCTTATGGTTCGTGTTAATCGTATATTAGACCCCATAGAGGTAGTGTCGCCAAATCTTGAGGGCGAATACAATGGCCCCCAACTCCATATTGTGCGTTGGGTAGTTTGCCTCGTGAGGCTTCAACTGCCTCAAGGCGTAGGCGATAACATTCCCCCTTTGCATCAGTACTGCACCCAAACGTGAAATGGATGCATCACAGTACACTAAAAAATCCTCCACGCCCTCTGGCAGGTCTAGGATTGGCGCCTCACACAACCTTTGTCTAAATGTGTCAAACGTTGCCTACTGCTCAGGCCTCCAGTGAAAGACCACAACTTTCTTCGTCAACCGGGTCAAGGGCACGACAATCTTGGAGAAGTCCTTAATGAATCTCCGATAATAGACTGCCAATCCCAGGAAACCCTAAATCTCAGATGGATACTTCGGAACCTCCCATCTCATCATGAACTCTACTTTGGCCGGGTCGACCAAAATACCGCTCTGGTTGACAAGGTGCCCAAGAAATTGCACCTCGCACAACCAGAACTCACATTTGGAGAACTTGGCATACGAGCTCTCCCTCCTCAGGGTATCTAGAACCTCTCACAAGTGCTCGTCATGCTACTCCCGCAACTTGGAATAAACCAAGATGTCATCAATAAAGATGATCACAGACCGATCCAACATCGGTCTACATACGCGGTTCATGAGGTCCATGAACACGGCATGAGCATTGGTGAACCCGAAGGGCATCACCACAAACTCGTAGCGGCCATAGCGAGTCCGAAAAACGATATTCTGTATATCCTCGTCTATGACCCTCATCTGATGGTAGCCTGAACATAAGTCTATATTGGAAAACCAAGATGCCCCCCGAAGCTGGTCAAAGAGATCATCAATTCTCGGGAGTGGGTAACAATTCTTCATCGTTACCTTATTTAGCTCCCGGTAATCTATACACATTCGATGCGACCCATCCTTCTTCTTCATCACAAACAGGATTGGGGCTCCCCACGGTGAACTACTCGGCCTAATGAATCCCTTGTCTAATAGCTCCAGTAACTGTGTAGACAACTCCTGCCTCTCAGGAGGAGCCAACCGTGCCTTGGTTATCGGAGCCGCACCAGGGACCAGGTCGATCCTGAACTCTACCTGCCTCTCCGGAGGTATCCTAGGTAGCTCCTATAGGAATACATTTGCGTACTCTCTTACCACTGGTACATCACTCACATTCGCCTTACCCACTTCCCAGGTATCCATATCGTAGGTGACATACCCTAAGAAACCCTGCTGTAGGTAGCACCTAGCCCTCGCTGTTGTACACATAGCTGGTCCACACTGTGGTCTCTCGTCCTGAAATCACTCAATGTTTTTTCTAATGATCTATCTGGTTCCCGTTCTTTCTCTAAGACTATGATTGAAGATTAGGACGAAGAAGTTACTTATAGACCATCGGTGGTGTCTTCTAAGACTCCTTCAGTGGATTCATTTGTTCCAAGTAATTTGTCCGGTTCTAAGAATAAAGAAAACAACGCAGATGCTGATGCTACTCCCCTTACTCCTAATGAAATAGAGTTTATGTCTAGAGATGCTTCCGCTGCTACTCAAACGTTTGTGAAACTTCTCTTTCCCGATCCGATTGCTAATGAGTTCGTGGCGAGTTCCTCTCATGATCCTAGACCATTTGAGGTTGTTTAATCAGCAGATGATGGATTTGTCAATATTCAAAATCTTCCCGTATCACTCAATGACATCATCCAGGAGCTACTTTCTAGAATTCAATGCGATCACCCAATTGAAAACATCATTGGCTAGCTGGGTGATGGTGTTCAAACGCGAAGTCGGAGTGGAGATGTAAATACATGTCTCTATTCTTGCTTCATATCTCAAATAGAGCCAAAGAATATTCGAATGGCTTTGAATGAGCCCAACTGGGGTGGATGCTATGCATGAAGAATTAAATTAATTTGAAAAGATTGGG